TCTTAACAGAGATCAATAGCTTTTTGAATTTAGTAGGATCTTTTCTTGGTGACATTTCATTTTGTATTAGTTGTTATGTATATTTATTTATATCGAAAACATTTCGAAAAGAAGTGAAACGTTTATTTTTTTGTTGTTAAGTGTGTATAGTTATTTGATGAATATTTTTTTGTTGTCTAAAATAAAAACGAAGTTATCTCTAAGATTATATCTATCTTTATATGCATATGCTTTAAGATTTCAAGAATAATTAACATTTAAAGGATGAAATATCATAATATAATGAGTATTAACAAGTATTGATCCTTAAGCAGCGCCTGGATATTATTGCAGTGAAGGAATTATAACTGAAACTTGTTCGTTTATTTGTCGTTCTTTCGTATTAATGATGTTTAATAATGATATTTCAAACAAATTAAATTCATGCTCTATTTTACCAATGCAATATCTTTGAAATATGAGAATATCAGTATGTTTAGTTGAAATTTACGTTGAGTTTTTAATTTCTCATGTCACATTCATTACCTACTCACGAATATATCTTAATTTATTTGGAATCTGTCACTATTATCTCTTTTCTATTCGGATTGACAATCTGCATTATCAATGAGTATTTAACATTCACTGATCTGCTAGCATGTAGATAGATTGTTATGTATTTCATTTATCAATAATAACTAGTTCATCATGAGGAGAATTTTGAGATTGATTGATGACCGGTTATCGAAGACTAAAATAGTCATAAACATTGTCTTTCAGATAGAATTAATTTTTTTTATGTAGATTCAGATCCAGAAATAAAATGGAATAGAATAATATTCTCTTCGTTTTTCTGTATAATGTGTACCAGTGCAATTAATTCGAGTTATTTGATAATCAATTTCATTATTGCCCATACTCACTTTTATAAGAAATGACAAATGAACAAAAAAATATATGCATATATTGTGTTATTATTTATTTTCGAAATCAAAAAAAACTTCTGAAGGTGCATGTATATTATAAGTTGAATTAAACGTATCATGCTTATTGCTTTATTTTACTTCGGAGCATTGTAATTCTCACCAAACATGGCGAATTTTTCTTATCAATTTCTTCATACGAGACAGTTCGAAAGACAATTCCCATAGGAAGAATGACTTCTTCTTCATCTTCAATTAAACTCTTGTAAGTACACACTTTACTTTATTTTGTTATATTTAATAGTGCATAGTAATTATTGATATCATTCTCTCTCTTATCTATACATTACTTATTTAAAAAAACTATTTGAAAAAAGTAGGACAACTCATCTTTTATTTTTATCGTAAGCCAAAAAAAACAAGATTGATCATTTTTTGAACAATCTCATAGAAGAAACTCCGAAAACTAATGTCACAGTATCATATTTACCTATGGATTTATTCATTCTCAAAGTTGAAACATATTGTCTTGCGCATATATATCAGTGAAATATTAAAGATATACTATTTTTAAAATGATTAACATTGTCAATGAATCTATAATAGATTTATTTTTAATAATTATGCTCAATTGCAATTATAAAAATTATAATGTAACCACTTTATCAATCAAAACTAATTCATATGGAATAGAATGACGATGTCATGCACGTTCGTACTATTAAGCACAAACAAGTACGACGTAGAACAAATTTTCTCTTTAACACATACAACCTTGATGCGAAACAGAATAGTAAAGCACCTGTCATTAACTTGCAACTTCTTTTTTTTCTGTCATATTCACTTCCACCTATATATATATATATATAAACATTTTGATTCATTTCCCTTATCCGTTACAAGTAAATATTCATCAAACCATAAATATTATCCAGATTTATTGAACAATGTCGACACTTTATTATACATTGGATAATACAGTTTTTCGAAATTTTTCATTTTATGCAGTAGCATCAACTCTTAAAATGATGATAATGTCACCACTAACTATTCGACAACGATTTCAAAAGAATGTATTTATTGTTTTATTTTGAAAAAAATAGTTATATTCTATTTTTCTCTTAAAAGGCATTTGCTAATCCTGAAGATATTCAACCAGAAAAAAGAAAAACAATTCAACCAACTACGTCAGATTCTGATGTTGAACGTGTTCGTCGTAATCATTTAAATGATGTTGAGAATATCATTCCATTTGTATTAATTGGATTTGGTTATATTGCTTGTAATCCTAATCCTACCTTAGCACTTTGGCATTTTCGTATCTTTTTTTTCTCACGACTTTTTCATACATTTGCCTATCAAGTATATATAAATTTTATTTAATTTTATTATAATATTTTACTTTATTTATTCTATTATTAGATTCCAATACGACAACCAAGTAGAGCTTTAAGTTTTTTGGTTGGTTTTGTTGTTACTGTATCGATGGCTGCTCAAATTCTTTTTCAAGTTTATTAAAAAAATGGTGATTTAGTCAACGATAAACTTTCATTTTTTTTTATTTATTAGTTTTATTCTATTTAATCTCGAGTTTTCATTATTTAAAGAACAATTATTATAAAAGATAAAAAATAATTTCATGTATTTAGAATAATATGATTAAGAATATACTATTCAATATAGAAAAGAGTGTATCTTTGAGAGATAATTAGATACCAAAGTTTTATTCTATATGAATTTGTTAATCATTTTCTTGTTCTTATTTATATTGATAATTAATATATTTCTTAGACAATGTTAAAGACTAGTCTTATATTAATTAAATATTATCTAAGTTACAACTGTCAAATTCAGATGCAACAAGTTCTACTTGTCTGTTTTCTATAAAACTACTGTGACTTCTTGATAGACATTGCTATCATTTGGCTCGTTTATACATATTTTAATTAATAATTATGGACAATTTTGTTTTAAATCTTATGATAAACACTGTCGATGAATATCTACCATTTTAACAATCATTTCTATAACACGATCGGTTATACGTTTATCACGTCAACTTAATTCTAAACTACACCATCTCGAGAGTGTGAGTATGTATATTCGGATTCGTCCAAACACACGAAACTCTTATTCATGCATACCCTCCAGATCTTTTATCCATTGACGCTTCAGCATTCCGGCTTTAATCAATGATGACATACATCGGCAATTATCAACGTCTTCAGCAAAACTCACACCCTCAAAATGAGGGAATAAAAAAAAGGTTGTATAAGTTAGTATATTTTCGTTTATTGAAAGAAAAACTGATAAAATCTATATTAACTGTCGCGTTCAATTAAATATGTTAGTATTTTATAAATAATATATTTTAGTAATAAAATAAAATGTCTACGTTAAACGATGATGTTGATCTTGTTACCACCATGATATATCGACTTCTGGTCCAGATTTTGTCTTCAAAACTTCTTTCGCACGTTTTTCTGCATCATCATCATATTTATTATCGCCAATATATAATTTTGATAATATCTATATAAAAAAAAATGAAAATTAATAAACATAAGAAGATATTTACCGTATTATTTTGTAAACCATCAATAAAATATTGAAGACCTTCATTTCCAAGATGAGCGTTAGAGATTGCAAGTGTCTTTAATGACTATGAATAAAATACAAATTATAGAAATGAGATATATCAAAATAAATAAAATATTACCATATTATTACGTATACCATCACCAAGATGTTGACCGCCTTTGGATCCTATAAAACTTTTTCTGAGTGACAATTCAGTTAATGTCTAAGAGAATAAACCAATAAAAATAAACATAAAAAATAAATAAATTCACTTTGTTATTTCTTAAAATATCAGATATATATTCAGCACCTTTTTCTCTAATTCTGTTGTTATCAAGATTAAGTTTTGTAAGTGTCTATGCGAATAAAAACAACAATCATAAATAAGATTAAGATAAAAGTGAACATACAGTCGTATTTATTAAAGCATCGATTAAATATTTAAGTCCTTCGTCTCCAATTAAATTGTCTGAGAGATCAAGTGAAATAAGTGTCTATATCAAAAAAATTGAAATATAAGTGAGAAAATCAAAGATATTTACCTTATTATTTGTTAAACTATCAGCTAAATATTTAATTCCTTCATCTCCAATTTTATTGCCTTGAAGATCAAGTAAAGTAAGTGCCTATATAAAAAAAATTGAAATATAAATACGAAAATTAAAGATATTTACCTTGTTATTTTTTAAGCCATTAGCCACATGGTTCATTCCTTCATTTCCAATTTCATTATGATAAAGAGTCAATTTACTCAATGTCTAAATAAAAATATAAAAATTATATAAAATTATATAAATCTATTTACTTCAGCATTTGTTAAAAATTCAGAAAATTTTTGTAAAGCTTTGTCTCCAAATCGAGTACTTCCAAAATTAATTTCCGTGAGTGTCTAAATCTTAAATATAAAAATACGAAAATAAAAAAATAAAATAAACCTTGTTATTTCTTAGAGCATCAGTTAAGCATTCTGATCCCCTTGGTCCAAATTTATTACTTGAAAGATTCAATGTTGAAAGTGTCTGAATTTAAAAATATTTTTTAGTTAAATAAAAACTACAAAAATATTTTCTACTTT